TTCTCCCTCTCCCTCTGCCTCTCTCCCTGCTCATGCTCTCTCTCTCTCTCTGTATCTCTGTGTCTCAAATGAATAAATAAAATCTTTAAAAAAAAAGAATAATCCTTTATATGCCTCTTTTCCTTCAGATTTAGTTCACGCTACTGGATTTTGGAAATGTATAGGTTATTTGATCTTCACTGGACAAGAGATCAGTATGAAAACTAAAAGGTGAGTTTTCCAGACTGATAGGTTTTTACTGACCTGAGTAACCTCCTGTTTGGTACTTATGTGTCTTACTATTCTTAGGGAATTCTTTTACTTCCCCTATTTTTTCTTTATGCTCAAGTTTCATCAAGAGATACTGATCATAGAGTTTTATCATCCATGTATTTTTGTCTAAAGTCAAGAAAGAGGCTCTATGCCGTTCCACAGATATTTAGTAAAAATACTTCAGTTTTAGACTTTAGGAAGTAAACAATGTGTCACTTTGGGGTGTTATTTCAGAGTGAGAACCTAAAGACCCACCAACAGCTCACCGCAGACAAACTGTTTCCATCTACATGGGGACCGACAAGCCACAGCTGCAGCCAACAAGGTCTTTGCGACTCTTACATGAGGTCTTACACTCTACCGAAGTCTCCTGCGATGGGACTTAGTAATTAGAAGACATATGCTTTAAAGGCTGCGATTAAGAAATTTTGAAACAAATTGTACGTTTTTTTTTTCCCCATTCTGGTTTTATAAACCCCTCTCTGCCCTTAATAATCAGAGATTGCCAATGTTTTATCCAAAATCTATGTTACCGATTAGGACATTATTTTGAATGCTTCTTTTCCCGTGTAGACATCTTACTTTATAAAACAGCTATTAGGGAGGCTCAAGTGCTGAGAAAAATCTAAATATACCCAAAACCTTCACATTATTATTTTTTCTTTCATCTGAATCTGAATAAGCTCTTCCTGAACCAGATGCAGAGTTGATTGTTTCTTTGGTTTTGTTGCTTGTTTTTCTACTTCTTTTGATGGGTAGGAGTTTCCTGGTACTTTTAATTTCATGGGAAAAAAGGGAAACATTCTTGTATAACATCTTTGGTTAATATCCATGATTGAATTTAAATGGTCATTTAAATCACAACTGTAAAATGATACCCTACTTGTCAAAACAACAATGCAGTATCTAAAACCCATAATATAATTGCACAGATACTGGGTAAAAAACCCGAGATCAAATTAAAACAAGGTATTGAATAAGAACTGAAAAATCAGCATTTCTACTAACGGCAAATATTTCCTCACTTGATGGAGCTACAAAATGATCATCTCAACTCCTTAGAGAAGGCCAGAGCAAGATCCTGTAAGAAACAATTCTGGTCAACTCTTAGGAAAGCTCTATTGGTGGAACTGAATGACCAATCTGGTTACTCAATTTAAAGTGATGTCAGGATCTTTAACTGTGGGACAAGAATATTCAAAGGTGGGAAAAATTTAAATGATTTCCTATTGCTATGTTTACTTGTATAATCTTTACATTAAAGAAAGTATTGGATAAAACAGAATTTCTGATGTGTTAACAGATTTCTACATCAATGAAACAGTAGAGTGCTCAAATATTTTACTAGAATTAAATGTACTGATACTGGTAAATGTGTACTCATACACTTAATGAGACATTCAATTAAACAGTAGAATAGACGTGATATTTGCTCAATAAATGTTAAATTTTTCCCCCACTAAATCAACTTATTAAAATGAAAATTGGTAAACAAAGGAAAAGTTCCAGTCATTTACTTTGTCTTTTCTTTAACAACCAAACTTCAAAGTAACAAAATAAATGGTGGTAATTACTTTCTAAAATATAAAAACAGAGATTATATGATAGTGGTTACACAAATTTATACATAAGACAAAATTGCATAAAACTATACACATACACACACACTCAAGCAAATAAGTGCATACAAAGCTGGTGAAATCTGAATAGTTTATGGATTGTATGAATGTCAATGTCATGGATTTGATATTATACTCTAATTGTGTAAGATATTACCATGGGGAAAACTGAATGAAGGGTACCAGGGAACTACCTGTACTTATTAATTTTGCACTTTTATGTCAATCTATAAGCATTGCAACATAAAAAGTGAAAAAAAAAAGAGGTTAACAGAAGATAGTGTATTCTCTTGGTATTAGCACTAGCTATCTTCTTTTCACTTTCTTATGTCTCAACTACACTATCCTCTCTCTAAAGTCAAATTCTGTTATATTCTTTTTTTTTT